ATTGGACGTGATTTCTTGCTCTCTGCCTTCACTGGAGCTCGCTTGAAGTGTCTGGTCTTCTCGTGGACTACATTGAGAGGACCTGAGTGAATAGGACCTGTATTGTTATTGTTGCTATTATTGTTATTGTCATTATTATTACTGTTGTTACTGTTGTTTTTGTTGATGTTCTTGTTATTGCTATTGTCGTTATCATTATCATCACCATCATCATCATAATTACTATTGTTATCATTATTATAATAATAATAATTATTATTTTTACTTTCATTGGTATTTTTATAATTACTTCCACTATCATTATTATCATCACCACATATAACGGATTATCCTCCTCCTCATATATATCATTATACATAATCATAAATGCACGGACCTGCACGTGGCTTGGCGGCGCGGGGAGGCATGTTGCAGTTAGAAGTGTCGACGTTCTGAGGCCAATCGCAGATGTGGGGGCCCTGGTTCCACACGGTGCCCGGCGGACAGACCTCCAGGTGGGGCACGCCTTCATAGCACCAGTAGTACTGTGAGGGAGAGGTGAGGAAGAGATACTCACCCATTGTGACTAACACGCACGCACGCAATGTAAGTATGTATGTATGTATGTGTATTCACGTATGTATGTTTACATGCACACATACATATGTATACGTGTGTGTGTGTGTGTGTGTGTGTGTGTGTGTGTCTGTGTGTGTGCATGTGTGTGCGTAAATATGTATATATACATACAAACACACACACACACAAACACATATATATGCATATATATATATATATATATATATATATATATATATATATATATAAATACTTTTATATATATATAACACACACACGCGCAGGGGAAATTTGAAGAGAAATCAAACTGTGTGGGAATTGAGTGTGTGTGTTTATCTGTATGTGTATATGTGTGTGTATGTGTGTGTGCGTGTGTGTGTGTGTGTGTGTGTGTGTGTGTGTGTGTGTGTGTGTGTGTGTGTGTGTGTGTGTGTGTGTGTGTGTGTGTGTGTGTGTGTGTGTACGTGGCACAAAATATCAGTCACCCCTTTTCGTGTCAATCTGACACGTTTTCTTTACCTGAATTATCCACGTTTCTAATAAAATAACAACATATTTCACTTCATACTTAATCATATACATCAAATACTAATGAAATTTCTTTTATCTTCGCTGAAAATCAACATAAAAAAACATGAAAAAAATATTATTGGCTACTGAATCGGCCATCCTAACTATTTACTATCTGTTATCGCATTTCCGTGTCCATGGTCCTTTCTCTTAGCACTCACCCTGTTTCATAAAGGGTGGTCCACCTCTACCAGGCCCTAGCATCGCGGGTATATCAAATTGAGAATCACATACAGCATAATCAGTCTATCTAGCATGTGATGCCAACCGCTCAAGACCCTAATCTGCAAGTATGCATCATGGATCTTTGTCTTTCCCTCTAATTCAAAAAAACTATAAGCATATTATATCTACTTCTTAATCACATATACCACTGCTACTTATCTACTATGTTTCTAACTTTCTAAAGTGTTCTCCCTCCCAAGTATAGACCACGGGCCTTCGTTTCTCTATTGGTGTCACGGTAGTTAGCTCCCACTTGTTACGTATGCTTGTGATTTCACTCTCTGCAGTTCTTTGGTTGGAGTTTCATGGCTAAAACTATTGTTATATATTTAGCGAATTATTTTACATTTTTACAGGTATGGGGTTTAAGTCTGGTGTATTTAAGAGTGTTTAATTTCACAGGCATGTGGCAGATAAATTCAAAGGTGTTAGTACTGTTGCTGACTTAAAATGAAGTGGCTGGACGGACGGACGGACGGACGGACACACACACACACACACACACACACACACACACACACACACACACACACACACACACACACACACACACACACACACACACACACTCACACGAAACAAAAATCAGGCCAAAGTTCTAATATATGAAGCTGTGTTTACGTATTTACAATTGTTAAGACAGTACCTTGTCGCAGTCTTCATGAGGCCAGTAGTCTGCCACCGAGCAGTCCATGGGCCCGAGGGTGGTCGTGGGGGCGTTGGGGTCCCTGGTGGTGGTGCTGGGAGCGTTGGGGTCCCGGGTAGTAGTAGGTGGGGTCCACCAAGGGCTCTGATATAGGCAGCATTGTCAGGGAATTGAATGTTATATCAAATGCGCTGAATAATTAGATAATGAAGCCCTTATTCTAACATTATTCTTTGCAGATAAGGATCATTCGTGGTCAGAAAGAGACCATATTGTTAGAATCAGACCAGATATTACCTTTGGGAAAAAAAACTAAATACCTTGTGAATGAATTCATATGGTAGTAATGTCTGAGCAAAAGCAATGCTATCATTCATGTAATTAGTGAAAAAGACAGTTAATATCAGACTTACGGCGGTGGTTGGCATCCATGTCGGGGCCACTGGCACGTAATAATCTTTCATCCCATCATAAATCGTCCTGGAAATAAAAGAAAATAAAAAAAAGAAAGAAAGAAGCATATAGAATAACAAAACTAATTATAAGGGTGATTCTTTAAAGGAAAAAAAGATATACACTCGCATTCATCTAGAGAGTCACGTGTCTTGGGTCTAAATCTAACAAAAATATTATACTTTGGGTAAGAGCATGACTGACCCCCTACAGATTATTTTTATTGTTTATTCATAGAAAACACTGGAAGTTGGAAAAATATATGAAAATTGCAGTCTTTTTTTCCAACCATGCAAGTCGTAAGGATACTCTTTAATATACTTTTCTGATTTACTTCTAAAACATTTAGTTTTTCTCCCATTTTCGAGACATTTTCGTAACAAGATCCGGGTTTAAACCTTTCTGAAACATTATATGCATTAAATTGGTTAGAGGGATGTATTCTGTACATGTCTTTTTGACTTAATTAGAACAGGATACATTAGAGAATACTTATGTATATACTTAATATATGGCTCCTTTATATCATATGCTGTTCTATTGTTTCAAAGTGATTAAACTTGGAACTGAATTGAGATCACTGTATCTTTTGCCAGGATCACCTTGTTGAATGATTGAAGTGTCCGTTCCTATGCCATGTCAAATGATGAAAGGCCTTCACATAAATCTTGTATTAGCTGGGTTTAAACTCTATCATGTGAGCAGTATAAAGGTTCATAGTGTTGTTTCCTGTTATTATTTTTGGAATATATCTTTCTGTTTGAGATTTAACTATTCTGAATTGGAAGAGACGAATAGTGAAGAGAAAACATAACCCAGATGATGGATAATAATGCCACAATAAACGCAAAGTTTTGGACGTTTAGATATGTCTTTTCTCCCAGTGACAGTGAAGAGAGAAATATTTTCCATTAAGTTTCAACATTAGATACTAACAATACCAAATTATCAGTTATTATTATTATTATATTCTTTCCGTACCTAAAAAAATAAATCGAGTTGTTAGTACGAGTGAAATGGCGTGTCCGTGTGCGTGCGTGCGTGTGCACATGTGTGTGTGCTCACTCCTTATCTTAACATCCATTTTCTTTGAATTTTACAAACACAACATTACCAACAGCCCTCAACCGCACTCACTGCATCATGGGGTTCTTTCCTTGGCCGCACCACTCCTTGTAGTCATCCTGGTCGATGGCCCACGTCATGGCCCCGAGGAAGCCCATGTCCCGGATGTAGTCCATCTTGATCTTAAGGCTGGCTGGGTCCTCGTAGCCCACCCACTGGTCACCTGCAGGTAAAGTTCAAAAGTTCAAAAGTGTTCGCGAAGGTCTCAGGGCTTTATTTATCACTTCAAGTTCATGAAGATTATAAGGATTAATGCGCAAGCACTCAGACTGGGATTTCGAGGGTAAGGTTAGGATGTTGAAAGGTGGGTGAAGAGGTCATGGAGATGATGAGGAGGAGGAGGATGGTGATGTTGATGGTGGCGGGAATGATTGCAATGATTGTGATGAGGAGGAGGATGGTGATGATGATGAGGAAGAGGATGCCAATGATGATGATGATGAGGAAGATGGTGACGACGATTATGAGGAGGAGGAAGATGGTGATGATGAGGAGGAGGAAGATGGTGATGTTGATGGTGGTGGTGATGATGATTATAGAGATAATGTGAATAACAGAAGGAACAAAATATTAAGTATTATAAGAATGAGAATAAGACGAAGAACAATACTGTAAACAAAGATAAGAATGGAAAAGTAACAACTATAATGAAAAGAAAAGGGGGCACACATGAAAAAAGGAAAGCAAGAGGAAGAAGAAGAGAAAGGAGAAGAAAAAGATAGAGGAAAAAGAAGAAGGAGAAGAGAAAGAAGAAGAAAAAGAAAAAGGAGAAGAAAAAGACAGAGAAAGAAGAAGAAAAAGACAGAGAAAGAAGAAGAAAAGGACAGAGAAAGAAGAAGAAAAGGATAAAGCAAAGGACTTTACACACAATAAGTCCTCACCCTTATGAGTAAAAGGAACAAGACCGACGTCATCGTAGCGGTCCACCCATCCGGAATCCTGAACCATCATGCTGCAAATCTGTTTAAAAAAACGATAAATAAATGGAATAGATGGATAGATAGATGATTGAAAAATGAGAAAATAATGTTAGAATTTACGCTGAATTGCTGGCTGAATGACAGCAGTAATTAAGTTTTTCTCTCCGTTTTGAAATGAAATGAAATTAATATTCATGACGAATCGGAGAAACTTCAGTTAAAAATCTTTTTTTTTTTCTTTTTTTCATACGTTGAATTATCAACTCAAAGGCAGCGAAGATATTGAAATTTCCTCTCAACTTCAATAGTAAGTTATCTATCAATATTCATCAAAAACTTCAATAAAAAACTATTCATTCAAAACTATTCATTAAAATCTAGTCATTAGAAACTATTCATTCAAAACTATTCATTAAAATCTAGTCATTAGAAACCATCCATTCAAAACTATTCATTAAAATCCAGTCATTAAAATATATTAATTAAAAACTATTCATTAAAAACTAATCATTAAAAGTTAATCATTAAAAACTCCCTCCCACATACCTCGAAATAAGCGATTTTTTTTTTTTTTTTTAATACGCTGAATTATCAGCGGAGTTACTGAAATTTCCTCTCAACTTCGAGAGTAAGTTATCTATCAATATTCATCAAAAACGTCATAAAAAAAACTATCCATTAAAAACTATTCCTTAAAAACTTCCTCCCACATACCTCGAAATAAGCGAGGGTTCCTGTGGCGTTGGTGTAAGGCCCAGGGCTCCCTCCGCCCTCCCACTTCTTAATGGGCGCGTGGAGGTCGTTGTTATCGGGGCTGCCCAGGGTGTAGGTCCTCCCGTAGAAGGGGGTTCCCAGTACCAGCTTGTCTCGAGGGCAGCCAAAGTCCTCCCACAGAAGGGCGCCGTCGTTCTGTGGGTGGGTGGGAGGAGGGTTGTGTGAGGGTACCGGTTCATCATTTTTTTTCAGGGATGAATCGTTTAAGTGTTTGGTTTAGTAATCTTTCTTGGTTTTACACTCCGTGTCTCTCTCTTTCTCTTCTTCCCTCCCTCTCTCTCTCTCTCTCTTCCTCCTTCCTTCTCCCCCTCTCTCTCACCCTTTCCCCTCTCTTTCCCTTCTTTCTCTTGCTTCTTCCCCAGCTCCCCCTACCTTTTTCTCCCTCTCTCTCCCCCTTTCCCGCTCTTTCCCTCTCTTTCTCTCACCCTTTCCCTCTCTTTCTCTTACTTTCTTACCTAATTCCTCCCCACCTCTCCCTCTCTCTCTCTCACCCTTTCCCTTTCTTTCCCTCCCTCCCTCTCTCGCCCTTTCCCTCTCATTCCCTCTCTTTCTCTTACTTTCTTACCTAACTCCCCTCTTACCTTTCCCTCCCTTTCTCTCACCCTTTCCCTCTCTTTTCTCTTTTCACATTTTCTTACCTAACTCAGCCCTACCTTTCCCTCTCTCTCTCTCACCCTTTCCCTCTCTTTCCCTCTCTTTCTCTTACCTTCTTACTTAACTCCCCCCCCTTACCTTCCCCTCCCTCTCTTTCTCTCACTTACCGCATTCAGTTTCTCGTACGCCCACTCGTCGAGGTCTGGTCGTTGGTACAGCATGGAGTGGACGTCAGCAAAGCCCACCCAGTTACCTCGGAGGTCGTACGTCATCAGGTGGATGGCGTCTAACAAGCTGAGAGGAATTTATATATTTATAGATTGAGCCACGGAAATGTAAAATAATATGGGGATTTTGTGCAAGTGTGTTGAGTTTTTTTGTTTTGTTTTGTTTTGTTTGTTTGGGATGTGAATAGTTGGGTAGTTTTTTTTCGTTTGTTTGTTTGTTAGGAGGTGAGTGGTGACTAAGCGAGTTGATTGAAGAGTTTTTTTTGTTTGTTGGTTGGTTAGGCGGTGAAGGGCGTCTAAATAAGCAACGAAAATAGAAAATAATTTCGGATTTTGAGGTTAATCCTTTGCGTTTTACAGGCTTTGAATAGTTGAGTTTTTTATGAGGAGTCTAAACAAGGTGATTGAGTGAGGAGTTGAGCATTTTTTTTCTAGGCTATTCTTTGGGAATATAAGTTGCTTGAAATATTGCCAGGTTTAAAAGAGATTTCTCTCAATCTCTCTATCAATGTCTCTTTATCAGGCCATTTTGCGTGTGTCTATGATATCATTATTTACATTTCATATAATGTTTTTATTCCTTTTTTTTCTTATATAAGCCCATATCATTTAGAATGTGTCTGTAAATATTGATATTAATATGTATAATACTATTCTTTACGTTTCATATTATCATTTCGTACATTTTCTCTTGCCATACCTGCAAAGTTCGGGCACGTGATAGCCTTCCTGCAGCCTGAACTTGGCCACGGGGACAGCGCATGTCAGTTCCCAGCCTAAACCCACGGAATCGAACGCGGCCCTTAGTTCTTCGACCTGGAATTTTGTGGTGTTATTTTGGGATCTTTTTAACTTGATTATAATTCAGTGTTTTGAAGATCTATATCTCTCTATCTATCAATTTATCTATCATTCTGAACTTGGCCAAAACCTAGCCAAAAGCCACGGAATCGAACGCCGATCTTAGTTCTTCGACCTGGAATTTGTTGTAAAAATTTTGGATTTTTTTTTAGAATGAATGATTATAATTCATTGTTTGGATATATTCAGTGTTTTGGGGGTTTCGAATTGAGTTATAAGTCCCTGTTTTGAAGATATATAACCCTAATGAAGACTTAATTCTGCCTCTAATCAAAATATGGGGCGAGAAATAGTCAGATACACGTACATAACTTTTTGGGATTTTCGAACTAAATTACAATTCTCTGTTTTGAAAATATCTAAATCTGATAAAGGTATCTGATTGTTTTTAATAAAGAAAAAAAATAGAGGATAAATAATAACTGCTTTGAAGATATTCAACTCTTTGGGATTATCGAACCAAAATTTGACTTTTTTGAAGATATAAGATTATTTCTCTTGTCAGATTATTTATTTTAATTGGATTTTTAGAAATATATTTTCAATAGATTTTTAGAAATGTATTCTAATAGATTTTTAGAAATATATTTTTAATAGATTTTTAGAAATATATTTTTGATAGATTTTTAGAAATTTATTTTAATAGCTTTTTTAGAAATTTATTTTTAATAGCTTTTTTATAAATGTATTTTTAAAAACACCCATAAAACATACTTAACCTATAATGAAATCGAAACAATGGGTGAAAAAAAAGTCTAAATTCGTCCATAAAATCCACTATGAGTCAATATTCACGGGTCATTATTTACCAGCTTCAAGAAGTTGTCCTTGTCGGCGAAGGTGCCGCCGCGGTCCATCGCCCCGGGGTACTCCCAGTCCAGGTCGAAGCCGTCGAAGCCGTAGTCGGTGAGCAGTTCTGAGAATGATTGTGGAGTGATTGTGGAAGTATTCGGTTTTTGTTGATCATTTGTAGTTTTTTGTGTGTCATTTGTAGTTTAGTTTTGTGTAAACATACGGATACCGCAGTCGGTGAGAAGTTCTGATTGTGAAAATATTCGTTTTTTTCGGATCATCCGTAGTTTTGTGTATCATTTATAGCCTATATTTACGTATCATTTACACTTTAGTTTTATGTACCGTTTATAGTAGGAGTCGTCAATAAATAGAAGCGATGCAAACGTTAGTAAACACAAAGATAGCTTAGTCGGTGAAAAGTTCCGTCTTTTATGTATAGTAGACATTGCCAATGAATAATGGATGCATAAATGTTCGTAAACAAGCACATATCATTGCAAAATCATAAGAAAAAAATAGCTGATCAGCCTTCATTTTCCGACGATACAACTGATATTCAAAAACAAACCTCAAATGAAAGAAAAAATAAAAGGAAAAATTATAATTAACGACATAACTGACAACCACAATAAACAACATTAAATAATAATCAATAACAATCAATAATCAACGATAAACGACAACCACAATAACCAAAACCAACCCATTTACCGAAGAAAACGGGAAACACTCACGCACAACGCTCCTGACGAAGCTGTCGCGCCTCTCCTTCAGGCTGACCATCTGCGAGTACTTCTTCCCCCCCTCGGCCCAGCCCCCGACGGCGATGTGGGTCTTCATGTTCGGATATTTCTCCTTCAGGGCCACGAACCGCCGATAAGACCCTTGGGTTATGTCTATCTTTGGGGCGAAAATCGAAAAAAGTTGAGGAGATAGATGCTGGTAAGACGTGATTGGGAAATGTTTGCCGAGACGTTGTTGTTATGGGGTGTCTGCTTATTTTTTATTCATTTACTTATCTGTTTATTTGTCTGTTTATCTATGTATCTGTCTGTGTATCTATTTATCTGTCTGTCTATCTAAATATCTACCCATCTATCTATCTATCTATCTATATCTATCTTTCTACCCATCTATCCATCTATTTATCTATCTGTGTACCTACCCATCTATCTATCATTCTACGTGGCATTGAAAAGGCCGCTGAAAGGGTATCTATCTATCTATCTATTCACCTCTTGATCTGTTCATCCCAGGAGGACAAAACAACAACAACAAAAAAACTACAGGCTACCTCGGGATAATCCGAGTATCTATCCTTCTATCTATCTATCTATCCATCTATCCCTTTATCCATCTATCTATCCATTTATACCTTTATCTATCTATTTATCCCCGAGGGACCAAACAAAAAAAAAGTATAGACTGATGACCATGACCTCCCACGTGGCGTTGGAGAGGCCGCTGAAGGAGGATCTGTCTATGTAAGTCTATCTATCTACCTATCTATCTATCCATCTACCCCTTTATCTACCTATCTATCCATCTCAGAAGGACCAAACAAAACAAAAAAGCATAAGTTACCTCGATGACCATGACCTCCCACGTGACGTTGGAGAGGCCACTGAAAGAGTATCTATCCATCTATCTATCTATCTATCCATCCATCTGTCCCTTTATCTACCTATATATCCATCTCAGAAGGACAAAACAAAACAAAAAAGCATAAGTTACCTCGGGGTCGATGACCATGACTTCCCACGCGGCGTTGGAGAGGCCGCAGGAGTATCTATCCATCTATCTATCTATCTATCTGTCCTTTATCTACCAATCTATTCATCTCAGAAGAACAAAACAAAACAAAAAAGCATAAGTTACCTCGGGGTCGATGACCATGACTTCCCACGTGACGTTGGAGAGGCCACTGAAAAAGTATCTATCCTTCTATCTATCTATCTATCTATCTATCTATCTGTCCTTTATCTACCAATCTATTCATCTCAGAAGAATAAAACAAAAAAAAGCAGAAGTTACCTCGGGGTCGATGACCATGACTTCCCACGTGACGTTGGAGAGGCCGCAGAAGGAGTAGATGAGGTCGGTGCACAGGTCGGCGGGGATGTCCTCGACGTCGTAGACTCCGTCGCCCGGCCTGTAGACGGCCCACGACTCGTAGTAGCACACGCGCCGCGCCAGCCGGTCGGGCCGCTGCCACTTCTGCTGCAGGGGCTCGTGGTCTGCGTCAGGAGGGAGGAGGGGGTGTATAGAGGGATGAATGGATGGATAGATTGGTAGATAGATGGTTGAATGGATAAATGGAGAGATGGGTGGATGGATATAAATAGATAGATAGATAAATGGATAGATAGATGAATGGATGGATGAATAAATAGATAGATATGATGGATGGATGGGTGGTTGTAAATATAACTTTGATTGTATATGCACGAAGTATTCTATAGACGGGTTTTATGTTGTTTTTTATAACTAGTGATATTACAATTTTTGGGGAAAAAAAGCTTTTATTTACAAACAAGTGGATTGTAAAAAAAAAATCCTTACTTAAAGGTGATCCATCCATTCCCTATGCACAGCGTTATTCGAGCTAGATATCCTTATTCACCATTAAGTATAACAATCATTTAATAATCATACAGTGTAATAATCATAATACCTCATCTGAATTAAACTTAATGTACCAAAAAAAAAAAGTAAATAAAAAATAACATACACGGCCCTCTACGGGAACAAACACACCGCATCCCATAACTCAGACCAAATGTCGACGAAGAAATATATTAGTATGCCCTCACATCATATATGACTTTATATCAACTATATACTCTAAAACGAAGACTAGTACCTCCAGGTCTGGCATAACGGGGGTCAGCTGACACCACCCCGACCAGCGCCAGCACGGCCACCACTGCAACCGCTGCCAACCGTCCTGGCAACATCTGCTGACGGGAAAAATGGATTACAGGCTACGTGATACTTTTTTTTTAACTTATTGTTCTGTTGGCGGGACCCATGGGAATTCCGCCGTACAATAATAATGCTAATAGTAAGGATAATAATAATGATAATAAAAATATCATTATTATTATTGTAATTATCATTATTATCATTAAAGAAGAAGAGGTACTCTCCTCTCCCTTTTTCACCCCTCCTTCTACTTTTCGCGTCCCCTCTCCCTTTCCTTTGCTCTCTCTCTCTGTCTGCCTTTCCCTCTCTTGCTCCACTACTCCCTCTCACCCCTAAATCTTACTTTAATTACCTCCCCCCTCCCACTTTATGGCCACATCTGCTCTCTTCTACTTTTGTCTTTTTCTCCTTCATTACCTTTCCTTCTCTCCTATCCTCTCTCTTTTTTTTCTTTTTTCTTTTTCTTTTGTCTCTGAGCTCTCTTTCCCCTCTCTTTCTCTTTATTCATCCTCTTTTCCTTTTTTATGTTCCCTCCAGCTCCTTTCTGTTACCCTCTCCCCATCTTCCTTTTCTCTTTAAGCCCCCTTCCCCTCCCTTTCCCCCTGTCCTCCCTTTTATTTCCCCTTCCTTTCCCCTTCCACTTCTATCTTCCTTCTTAATCTCCCCCTCGGATAGTCTTGTAAATGATAAATGTACATAAACTGACGGTCTAACTCAGTGGTTCTCAATCTTTTTTCAATGATGGCACCCTGAATTTATATAATACTTTCTGTGGCACCCCTTTTTCACCATCACCCCTCCTCACATGAATTAACTTCTGATATAAAATTGTACCTGTTTGAATTACTTTAATTAATGATTTAAAATTATTATCCGTACTCAAACCAAAATTAACATATGATGTACTGTAGTACATGCCCAAACATTTTACTAAAATATAGGTAGATTCTACCTATATTTTAGTAAAATATTAGAGCAAGTAACTTCCTACACCGACATTTAATTATAGGCAGACTGCTACAAACTGTTTTACAAATGTACCTTGAAACGATCTAGCCAAGACAAAATTCATGGCAATCTTGTGGCACCCCTAGGCGCTGTCCGTGGCACCCCAGGGTGCCGCGGCACCCAGTTTGAGAACCACTGGTCTAACTACTGTAATGGCTGCCTTGGCTCATTGGTCTTTCAACGGTGTTCACACAAAGTCACCAGGGACGCCGCATTCATTTTTCTTTCTTAACCAGTTTCCATTTTCGTTCTACTAAAATAAGAAATAGTGTAATATCATGTTTAAGAAAAAAACATGTACAAAGATTTTATCACGTAGAGAAAGAAGGAATGTTAATATTTTCGTACAAGTTCGAAAGCAAGCCAACATTACCTTCATGAAAGTGTGAAAGAGCGCGGGTACCCAGTCACTCTGGACACCTCGAACGACGCGTGACGTCTGTCCTCAATGCCACAGTGATCATGATCTAAATATGGCGTTGGTATCCTCAAGCACCACTTATCCTTGATGACAGAAACCTGGGGTGGTCGGTGATGTTATCATGAAGACAGTAAGAAAAATCCTGAGAGACAAGGGTATAAAAAATACCAAGTGATTAGAGACACTCGACTTTTTTGGGTTCGATTCGATATGCGATTTCGTTCTGAGATTATCTCTCTTATGATTCTGTATCTGTTATAGATCAGATTCGTTAACAAATCAGACCTTGCGCTGTACTCGGAAGTGTGTGTGTGTGTGTGTGTGTGTGTGTGTGCGCGCGCGCGCATGTGTGTAAGTGTGTGTGTGCGCGTGTTTGGTCGTGTGTGTGTGTGTGAGTGTGTGTGAGTGTGTGTGTGTGTGTGTGTGTGTGTGTGTGTGATAAATAAATACATACATACTGTATATTACACACACACACACACACACAAGCGCGCGTGCACGCATACAGATAGATAGATGTGTGTGTGTGTATGTATATATATAGATAGATGTGTCTATATATCTATATATGTGTGTGTGTAAGAGTGTGTGTATGTGTGTGTGTATGTGTGAGTGTGTGTGTGTCTGCCTGTGTATGTATATAAATAAATATAGGCATATAGATTGATAAATAGATGCGTGTTTCTATATAATATCTATATAATACATATGTATACATATATAAATTTATATGTGCGTGTGTGTATTTATATCTATGCATAGATAGATATATAGATATAGATATACACACATACGTATACGGGGTGCGTACGTGTGCACAGACGAATAAAGTTGAACAAACAACTGTAATGCGTCTGTAACTTCCATCAAACATCGCGAGTAATCCTGACAACATCATTTATTTACCTTGTTTTGAGCCGAAATGCACACGGAGACGAGGGGAAACGCGCATAATTATATTTCTTTCTGGACTTAAATGAAAAGCATATATCATTTTTTAACCATTCCTCGTAACGAAAACAAAATATTATTTTACGAACTATTTCCGTGAATTTGTTATCTTATATGATTATATTCCTTCTGCTATAAGGTAATAAGATATAATATGTTTTGCAATTTATTTTATCACCCGAGTGACGTCACCTCCTCACGTGCGTTGCTTAATGACACATGAAGTCTTGAGGGCTGTCTGCTTGCAAAGAAGGCTAGGTTTCGTTGTGCATTTGCGATTTCTGGTGATTTATTCCACTTGAAATCTCTCTGTATATTCCCTTATATATATATATATATATACATATATACATATGTACATATATATATATATATATATATATATATATATATATATATACATATGTGTGGGTGACTTTCTCTTTCTCTCCCTCTCTCTCTCTCTTTTGTATGTGCGCGCGCGCGCGCTTGTGTGTGTGTGTGTGTGTGTGTGTGTGTGTGTGTGTGTGTGTGTGTGTGCATTTAGAATATCAGAATAATGATGATAACAGTAGAGTAAAAAAACGGTATTATCTAAGTACCTTTTATTTACATAAAACGTTCATAAGGTAATCTTATTTTTATGCTCTTTCAAAAGTTATATCTAGAAAAGCAAATAAACCATTTTATTGTACAGTATCTTAGACACTATTCATGAAAGCGAATATAAAGCATCTAAATTACATACAACTTAATATGTGTAGAATGTCACTACTCTTAACGAAATCTTGAAAGTATCGAGACACGCAAGAGAATTAAACAAACATAACTAATATGATACACGTATTTTTTCTTCTTTATTTATTTATTCATTCATTTTTTATTTTATTTATTTATTTTTTTGTTTATTACTGTTATTTTCTATTGCTTTTCCTCTCTTTTTTCAGTATTGAATAACTAAGGTGTTTTCTTGTGCATCTTCTTCACCACGTGCAAGGCCTCAGCAGGGTGATTAACTTTCTTCGATTTAGGAGACTCCTTCGGTCCGGCTGAATCCTCTTCGGTCTTAGAAGAATCGGTCTTGGGAACTCCGTGACGTTTTTGGTCCTTCATTTTCTCGAGCTTAATGAGATCGTCCACATCCATCCTTTCGTTGGCGAGGACGTGGTTAAACGCGAGCATGTCGAGGGGAGGTCGCTTCTCCTGCTTCGATCCCTCGGGAACTCGGGCGGAAGGCGGCATGTTGCAGTTGGAGGTGTCCACGTTGGCCGGCCAGTCGCAGTTGTGGCTCGGCTGGTTCCACACGAGGCCGGGCGGGCACGTCTCCTCGTGGGGCACGCCGTCGTAGCACCAGTAGTACTGAAACGGGAAGTGGGGGTTTAATATTGTTTGCTGTGTTGAATCGGAGCGTGGGAACGACGGCAGATTAGCTGAATATGTGTGTGTGTGTGTCTATGTGTATATATATATACTATGTATATCACACACACACACACACATATATATATATATATATATATATATATATATATATATATATATGTATATATACATATATGTATATACATATATATATACATATATGTATATACATATATATATATATGTATATATATGTGTGTGTGTGTAAATACTATGCATATCACATTTATATAAATACATAAATATATACATATATATTACCCTATGTATGCATATATGTATACATGCAAACATACATGCATGGTGGGACATGGAGCTATATGAAAATTATGCACTACAGTACCTACCGACAATTATCTCTCCCATATAACTATACTGGAATCTTTCCAAAGATGCAAATATGACAGGCACTGAACGGGGCCATGGAGATTGTTTATATATTGGGTAGGGGCCACAGAATAAAAAAAGTAGGGAACCACGAGCCTAAATCTGCATCAGAAATACATTTGTTTCTGATGTTGATTTAGTCCAAACAAGCCACACACACACACACACACACACACATACACACACACACACACACACACACACACACACACAAAGACACACACAGTAGTAACATTGTACCTACTGCACACAGGTGAGACTTTAGCCCTACCTTGTCGCAGTCGGCGTGGGGCCAGTAGTCTGCCACCGAACAGTCCATGGGCCCGAGGGTGGTCGTGGGGGCGTTGGGGTCCCTGGTGGTGGTGCTGGGGGCGTTGGGGTCCCTGGTGGTCGTGATGGTGGACACAGGGACGTAGTAGTCCTTCATGCCGTCGAAGATAGTCCTGTGAACCGATAGGAAATTTTGATTTTTGATTGTGTTTGGTGGCGAGAATATACAACTATATCATGTTGTGTATGTGTGTGTGTGAGTGTACACCGATATATATATATAGATAGATAGATAGATAGGTAGGTAGATAAATAGATAGATATACATATATATAAATTTATATATTTATTTATATATGCGTATATATATGTGTGTGTGTGCGTGTTTTCCTTTTTTTCTTGTAATTACATTAACAACGTTTAACCACACTCACTGCATCATGGGGTTCTTGCCTTGGCCGCACCACTCCTTGTAGTCATCCTGGTCGATGGCCCACGTCATGGCCCCGAGGAATCCCATGTCCCGGATGTAGTCCATCTTGATCTTAAGGCTGGCCGGGTCCTCGTAGCCCACCCACTGGTCACCTGCAGAACGAGCGGAGAAAGAGTTACTTGCTGTAAACAATAACCAATAAGGCCGGTTGGTAGCACTTCACACCTCTGTCCCCAGCACCTGCCTCCCTGTAGTAAGTTCCTCCTTGAGCGAATGCAGGTGTCCGCCCTGCTTTCACTTCCGACTATCCAGTGGGCAGAATTGAGCACCTGTCGTAAGGGGAGGTGCATAAAAGGACACGTCTCACCAGACAAGAAACAGAGACAGGAACGACACACAGGGTCTAAGCTCACCTCCACCCCGTCCCTGACCCCGGGGAGATGGAGGTCTCTGTGGGGTCTCGCATCTCCCTTCCACAATAAGCACACAAGCTAAGACCCAGCCTCTTTGTCGTTGATACTTACAAATCGCGGAGAAATTTCTCATAATTCATCTTTGAAGAAACTGAGGTATTTCTTGATGGTGTGTTTTCTTAGCATAATAGTAATAATGATGATAATGATAATAATAATAATAATAATAATAATGATAATAATAATAATAATAATAATAATAATAGTAATAATAATTATAATAATGATAATAATAATAACAATAATAATAATAATTATAATGATAGTAATGATAAAAAGAATGATAATGATAATAATAACAATATTGATAATAATAATAATAATAATAATAATAATAATAATAATAATAATAACAATAATAATAATAATAATAAAAATAAAAATCTAATAATGTAGAAACATTGTCTGGTTAGTTTCGTTAAATATTAGAGTGTACTAGATTTTCTAAGTAAAAACAAAGGTAAATAAAAGACTGCGATACTAATTAAAAAAAATAAAACCTTATAGATACCATTGTGAGTGAAAGGAACAAGACCGACGTCATCGTAGCGGTCCACCCAAGCAGAGTCCTGCACCATCATGCTACAAATCTGAAAGAGTAAAGTATAATAATAATGATAATAATATTGATAGTAATACTAATAATAACAATAACAACAACATCAGCAGCGATAATAATGATAATAGTGATAATGATAATGATAATATTAGCAGAAGCAGCAGCAGTAGTGGGTAACAAGAGTTGTTTTTTCATTTTTATTGCAGAGAATTACTTGATCCTGTTCCTGTTACCAACCGTACTACAACCTACTACCCAAACTACCACGACGTTAGTAAGTCACATCATAACTCAACCACTGTCCCACCGCGTCTGCCTTTCATTCGTTCAATTAGTGAGCATTAGTCTTGCCTCGAAGTAAGCGAGAGTTCCCGTGGCGTTGGTATAGGGCCCTGGGTTACCCCCTCCCACCCACGCTTTGATGGGCGCGTGGAGGTCGTTGTTGTTAGGATCCCCCAGGGTGTAGGTCCTCCCGTAGAAGGGCGTCCCCACCACCAGCTTGTCGCGAGGGCACCCGAATTCCTCCCAGAGAAGGGCGCCGTCGTTCTGTAATGTTGATGGGGGTCTTTAGTATGCAAGACGCTTTATTCTTTTGTGTGTTTTGGATGTGACTACTGATTGATTCTCATTTGGATGGTGGGGTTATTTGTGTTAATGTTTAATGGGTATTTATTCTTCTTATTAGCTATTGTTGTCTGTATTTGGGAGGGCACGTGTGTGTGTGTGTGTGTGTGTGTGTGTGTGTGCGTGTGTGTATGTGTGTGTGTGTGTGTGCGCGCGCGCGCGCGCGTGTGTGTGTGTGTGTGGGTGTGTGGGTGTGTGGGTGTGTGTGTGTGTGTTTATATGAATGCATGTATGCGTGTGCGTTCACAGATATTTATCACATGTAATGACACTTACCACATTGAGTTTCTCGTAGGACCACTGATCGAGACCCGGGCGCTGATACAACATGGAGTGGACGTCCGCAAAGCCAACCCAGTTCCCACGCAGATCATACGTCATCAGATGAATCGCGTCCAGCAGACTGTTAGCCCCCACCCCCCAAAAAAACAATATATATCACAAACGATTGTTATTCCTTATTCTCATATACCCGGTTTTATATTCCAAAGACAGTAAAGAAAAGGCGGTACGTCTCCCCTTTATTTGTTTACTTTACCTGCAGAGCTCTGGGACGTGGTAACCTTCCTGCAGCCTGAACTTGGCCACGGGGACAGCACACGTTAGTTCCCATCCCTTCCCTACGGTGTCAAAGGCAGCCCTCAGTTCCTCGACCTATAGATACAGTAAAAAAAAAGAGGATTTTATTGCCTGATAAAGTTCTTACAATAAATTCCATTACAAGGGTTCGTAGCCATCGCTCACCAGGCAGAAGAAAGTCTGCGAAACTTGATTAAAATAATTTTTTTTTTTTTTAATCGTGACTCTAGGTCTTCAGGCACGGCAAGATAAAGGAAAATATATAAAGAAAAATATCTTATATTCAATTTCTTTAAAGAAACACAACTATAAGATTTAAAAATTGATACTAAATTCCCTTAAAAGATTTTGTAACCACTTCTCACCAAGTACAAGAAGTTGTCCTTGTCGGCGAAGGTGCCTCCACGGTCGGTCGCCCCGGGGTACTCCCAGTCCAGGTCGAAGCCGTCGAAATTGTAGTCAGTCAAGAGTTCTGGCGGGGGGGAGGGGGGGATTTAGAAGAAAAAAAAATCATTTGGTGGGAATGCTTGGAAGAAATTTTGCTTGAGGGTAGAAAACTTTATTTCGTTCGACATTATTGCCTCAAATAATTTTTGTTGGGAACTACTACTGTTTAATGGAAGTACTTTATGTAAAGAGTCCATTGCTCTACTACACGTTGACATAATATTTTCCTGTCACGTCTAACTTGATTCTGGATTAAGTACTTTACGACGTTAAATAAACTTCACATCCTTCAATACATTCAAATTCATAATTATGATATGACTCATAAACATCGAAATGAAAAAAAAAAAACTGTGAACATCTTTGCTCAATAAACTTAATATTAAGAAGACCTATCAGCCAATCAATCTCCAATGAACTTACTGACGACGCTGCTGATGAAAGTGTCTCGACGTTCCTTCATGCTGACCATCTGCGAGTACTTCTTGCCCCCCTCGGCCCAGCCCCCGACGGCGATGTGGGTCTTCATGTTCGGGTACTTCTCCTTCAGCGCCACGAAGCGCTGGTAGGCCCCCTGGTCGATGTCCACCTGGGGGTCGGGAAGGCTGTTTTGATTTTGTTCGTGCTGTTTGTAGCTTCTTTTTTGTTTAGATTTTCCTCTTTGTGTCTTGTTTGTGGTTCCGTGTTGTTGTCTGATTTTGTTTTTATTGTAGAAATATCATTGGTGATAAAGGAATGATGTGATAGCAATAGTAATTGAGTTATTATCTTGAGTATCATTACTTTTCGGTTAGTGATACCAGTCTGACCTCTCAGCATGGTCTTACCTCGGGGTCAAGCACCATGACCTCCCACGTGACGTTGGAGAGGCCGCAGAAGGAGTAGATGAGGTCCGTGCACAGGTCGGCGGGGATGTCCTCGACGTCGTAGACTCCGTCGCCCGGCCTGTAGACGGCCCACGACTCGTAGTAGCACACGCGCCGCGCCAGCCGGTCGGGCCGCTGCCACTTCTGCTGCAGGGGCTCGTGGTCTGCGTCAGGAGGGAGGGGCGGGAATGTGTGTTTGTGTAAATTAATGTCCTTCATTATAAAGATTTATCACCAAATCATGAAACCAGTTGTGATGCTTTGTACGAAAGGCATGCTATAGACAGGTATTATTACTTTGTATTTAATTGGTATGTTCAGATTACATTTTAGCGTTCTATATCTCAACTTCAAGTATCGTTGTGAATATGACGTTTTCAATACAATAAATATCGATTCATGATTACGAGTATGCCCAAAAACTACTTAAACGATGAACACCATATATACTACACCAACAGCAGTAGGACTCACCTCCTGGCCTTGCATAGCGTGGATCGGCCGAGGCAACCCCCGCCAGTACGAGCAGGGATGCAGCCACGGCCACCAGCAACCTTACCCCCATCACCTACAGGAAGATTGCGAACTTATACGTGCATATCTTGAAATTGTATTTAATTGTGAAATGAAAACGGCCACGATAATCATACAAATACTGCCTATATTATTATGACTGCGTGTTATTTATTAACTTAGTTTTGTGTTTTTATTAGCCTATATATCCACACACATGAAAATGAAATCAAGATAGTTACCTCGTTGATGCGAAACGATTAAAATACAACAGCGGAGAGGGTCGAGATACTGCTCTCTCGCTCTCCCTGGTGCATCTGCCCCTCTCTGGTGAAAGGTCACGTGATCACATCTCTTCCCACTTCACAGTTATCTCCAAGAACCGATTTTTTTTC